ATGAAAAGACACAGAGAAAACCATTCGAATAACGGTAAAAATTAATAATAACTGTCAATGGTAAAGTAGATTGTTATTCTTATGTAACAGGATCAACAACAATCACAACACTGAATGAAACTGAATAACCGATAACTTGGTTATTCATAATGATGAATGAAAACCTGAATATCTGGTTTTCTGGATTCTCATGGATCTGAATCTTTTACCTGATACACATTCAGGTTAATACAATTTTATTTTCATTCCAAAGGTCAACTCTTGTTATTTTTACTCTCAATCAATTGGAAATTTGCTTCATTACGATTGATTGTTGAGTTTTTTTTCTACTATCGGTTATCAAAAGCTCTTTGGTAATTAATGATTAAGTAAATTGTTTAGGTTTGTTGTTTTGTTTTTCTCAAACCAGATTAGTTTTGTTACTTTCCAAGAGATGGCGACACCAGTTAGAACAAAATTTTTCCTCGATTTTTATTTTTCTCTGATCACAATTAACATATAATCAAATGATTAACCAATTAATTTAGGGAACTGATCAAGTTATTTGATTAAAATAGCAGTTATCAATTGGATGATATCCGATAAAGTTAAAAGATGATTGATCTGGACAGTGAAAATCAAAATTGATTGATCATAAATTGCTAATTAATTAGTTGATTAAATTTTGCAGCAACAATTAAATTAAGATGAGAAACTGGTGATAAGCCTGAATACTTATATAATAAGTATTACAATTTAACCGTTTGGTTATTTTCTGTTTACTTACTATTAACTGGGTTAACCAAATTAACCTTTCCAATGGTAAATAAAGTGACAATTAGCCTGTTCAAACAATTAAAAGGTAATTAAACTTTTCAATTAATAACAAAAAATCGGTTCAATAACCAGAAAATTCAAATTGATCCATTGATTTATCATCAAATTAAGGGAAATGATGTCCAGTCACTTTCAACAGGTAAAATTTTAATGATTCAAACTGACCATTGGTGATTAGATTGCTAATAATTAAACTTAATTGCCTCTTGATTATTCAATTAACTTAAACTCTATCAACACTAATCAACATTAATCTTGCTCTTCCTCTTCTTAATTTTCCCTCATCATTGATTTTCCTGTTTAACTTCCGATCTGATATTCTTCCCATCAATATATCCAATAATACTTGGAGAAGATGATTAACTAATTGTTCATGATTAATCATCAATATATGGCAACATATTTTCAAACAATCAACTAATACAAATGGAAATCTATACAACATGAAAACAAAGAAATAATTAAATCCAGTAGGATTAAATTCACATACACAGCGCAATTAAAAACATCTAAACATTAGAAACAATTAACTAAATGATTATGAATAAATGTACTTACAAATCTGTGATTAAAATGATTAAAATTGATCAACTTGTGTTAATTATTTTCTTAGTATTTTTTACCCAATTGATTAACTGTTTTCCCTCATCACCAACAGAATTGGAATCAATTCAATTCTGTCCACCAAATTGGAAGTTCATTAAATCAAGTTATAAGTGTATTTATTTTGATCGAACTCAAAAAGGAAATTTCGAGGAAAACGAAAAGTTCTGTAGGTCCGAAAATTTGAACAGTTCAATGTTGGTTATCGATTCATCCGATGAGTCGGAACAAGTGAACAAATTGATTAGAGACTCATCGATCAGCCGATGTTGGCTTGGTGGTAAAACTATTCAGTCCCATGGAGGAGGAAAACAGGCCAATGTTACAATTGTATGGTCACCAAGAAAGATGACCAATTACACTAATTGGGCACCAAAATCACCTAATTGTTTATCATCACCATTTTGTTGTGTTACGATCAATTCCAGATCATGGTGGACTGATATTAATTGTCAAGCAAATGCCGTCATGATTTGTGAAAAAAGTGCCATCAAATCAACTCGAAGTGAAATCGTTTCATATTTTACTCAATTGTTGCAACAAATTGATTCATCTAATTACAGTGAGATAATTAATTCAAATTTAACTGAAATTGTCCCGAAAACTGCTGAATACGATTCATCATCATCTCCATTCAATTCAATGGTTTTAATTGCTGAAATTCAACAAAGTGAGTATTCAACCAGAATCAATAATTTAGATTCATTTATTTACCATGACATTGATAACTTTTAGTCCATAACCTTTAGTTGACAATTAACTGATGATGACTTAATTTCAACAATCAATCAATCATCACAATAATAATAATAGTTTTTTAATTGTCCAACTCTTAAAAAATTAGCCATGTAAATAGATTGGCAACAATTAAAACAACACTTTGAATCTTTTAATTATATTAAACAGCTACTGATTTGATTTGATTTTTTTTTCTTCTTTCTTGTAACAATTTAGAGCAATTGGAAATGATTAAATTCATAGTGTTTTTAATCAATGATCTTAACAATTTAATCCAATCCCGAAATCAAGATGAACCAATCAATTCAACTACTGATTCAATCATATCCCAACTAAACGATCAACTTAAACAATCAATTTTTGGTACAGAGATTTGGTTGATTGTAGCTGTAATTGGTTTAACAGTAATTGTGATAATAATCGTGTTGATTAAGATAATTAAATGTTATCACAATCGATCAGCCAAAAAACGTAGACCTGAACAACTTTTGCCCAACTCAGTCCAATGGCCCTGTCATCAAAATGATTCAGCTTATGGATTTCAATTAGATTAATTAAAAATATCAACAAAATAAAGATACAAATCAACAATTATCCATTAATATTATCTCAACATTGGAGATGCTTTTAGCTTATTAAAGATAAATATTAATAGCGACAAATAATGAGTCTAATTGTTGAGATGTTTAATCGTAACAATTAATTGTAATTTAACACGAATCTTGTTTAGCATCAAAAGAAGCAGAAAAAACAATAGAGAGAGAGAGAGAGAGAGAGAGAGAGAGAGAGATTGTCAATATTGAGAGAGACTTTGTTTGCGTTTTCCAAATAATAGAATTGCAATTGATTCCAAAGAAAATAAATTGTTACAATTAAGGAAATAATAATCATCAGCGTCATCTGATTAATCATCCGCATCATTATCATGATAATAACTAATAAAAACCACCGATTGAGATGAACCAAATCAACTGGATGAACCCAATGGATGATAATTAATTTAAATATTAATTTACTGATTGGGTGGAGCAATTTACTTATCTCTCTCTCTCTCTCTCTCTCTCTCTCTCTCTCTCTCTTTCTCTCTCAATGTATTTAATTATTACCATGATAATAATAAGAAATATATGATAATTAAAATGCTACTGAATAAATTGTAATTCATTTGTAATCCAAATAAAAATGAATATTTGAAAAAAAGGGATAATCAACAATGAGAAATGTTAATCTACATGACAATTAGTTTAATAATGAGTTATTGTCATTACAATTAACTTAATCGATTAGAATTTCTTTCTGTGTTTATAATACATGTTGATTCATTTGATGATAATACACGGGAAAAGTAAAATTGATTTAATTGTGTTTCCATATTTACGTTTATCCTCCTAATGGTTTAAAAAGGAAATGATCACAATCAATGATTCTATGATTATGATTGTTGATTTAATCAACTTTTATAATCAATTGATTTTATAGTAAATCATTTCACCAACGGTTAAAATCAGTAAAAAAGACAATATTAACAATTTAAATTTCTTTACATTTCAATTGATCAGTTAATTGTTTTCTCAGTGTTGATATTTTTTCCTTAACTTTGTGAACATTTAAATTTTCATGAGATGATGATGCCAGTTAATAGAGTGAGACTCGAGGATAAGGATGATGATGATAAAGAAAGAAAGTTAAAGATGAGGAAGATAAATGATGATGATGATGATGATGAGGGAGAGCTGAGGGCAGATGGATTAACCAACATATGGATATTTGAATTAAATACCTTGCATCATATTAGTGATATAAGTGGTTGGTAGTTGGATAATCATGATTAAATCAACATTGGTATTAACAATCAGGAAAATTGTGATAACAATCAGGACAAAATTGATTGTCAACAATCAAAATTGTTTATTGAGTGGTTACTTTAATCATTTGGGTTACCAGTTGAAACCAAAATCCGTTGGTAAAAAAAGTGTAATAATAATAATCATTGGATTAGCTTAATAATCAGTGAAACTATTTAGATTATCTCATATCTTAAATTTAGTTAATCGTATTGAGCAATTAAATTTGTATTATTATTGATCCTTGTTCAAGTCACAATTTAGTTTAATTGTAGTATCAACTACAATTAGTAAGGATAAATTGTTGTTGATTTGAATACTTTCACTTAGATAATCACAAATTCAAGTATCATGACTTTTCATTGATAAATTGTCGTTATGGTTGATTGTTGCTGGTGAAATTGTTTCAGCTAAATTGTTATTTTAACTGTTACTTTGTCAACAATTTAATGTTGATATTATATCATATCTATATGGGAAAATATATACATATGATAATGATGATAAATGATGATAGGATGATAAAAAAATCCTCTGTAAATATTTATAAGGTATCGAGACTTTAACTGGGAGTTATTATTATTATATTACTTTTAAATTTAATCTCAACGCTTAAATTGTTGTAACAATTATGCTTGAAGCGATTGATTCAATTAAACTGTTACAAATAATTAGACAGTTAATAAATCAACAGGTTAATCAAAATTGAATCAACAAATCAATCATGAAATGATTATAAATATGATATTACAATTTATTTCATCAGGGAAACAATTAGTTGATTGATTGAGTTTAAAATTGATGATTAAATCTTGTGAAATATATATTATAGTAAATGTTAATTGTTTGTCCTCTAGTTTATGATAAATTATTGTAAATTAATAAACAATTAATAGGATAGAATCAAGAAAATACTTATAATTCATATTGACGATTGAATAATTTAAAAAATGAAAACAAAGGTAAAAATGTGAAAATATTGATTACATGTGATTATATTTCATTATTATACTTTCTGAATAGCAATTTATGTTATCTAGATGATGGTTTAATGATGATGATGATGATGATTGTGAATGAATTGTTTGCAAAATTTTTTGCGTAATTTTCATACCCACCCCACCCACTTTCACCCACCCAGAGTATTTTATATTAAATATAATGTGAATTATGTGAACATGTAGTAATAATATCAATCGATAATAATAGTTTTTTCCTTTTTTCCAAAGAGAGAATTTTTTTTCTCTTCATCTTCTGGACAGGTAACCCAATGATAAAAGAAATACAGAGAGAGAGAGAGAGAGAGAGAGAGAGAAAGAGAGAGAGAGTAGATGATGATGAAAAGTGAGATAGAGTAGCAGGTAAACACGCGATGTTATCATTGATTCTTAATAAGTTCTAGTGAATAGTAAACATAAACTCACGGAGATATTATTATCTTTATTATTATTTTGAAGGAGCTTGAGGGAGGAAGGTGAGTGATATCATTGTAGACAGAGTGGGAAATTGTGAGTGAGCTAGAGAGAGAGAGAGGGAGGGAGAGACAATTGTGACATCGCATTTATATAATAATAATAGTTTATGATGATAATAACCATAGGTAAAGGTATGAGGCTTAACGGTAAATGATATTGATCCGTTTCCATTGTATTCCTTTGGCTGTTTTATCTTAATGGTTAATGATTAACAGTTATAATTGTTAATGTTTCACAAATCACAAATTACTTTTATCAATATTCATTAATTGTTATCATTATCTTTCGGGTGTTGATTGATTGGAAATGTTCATCATGATTAAATTTGATTTCTTAATACATGTAAAGATATTAATTGATCTTGGAAATTGTTGAACAACAATAATTCAATGTTACCTTTCATTTGATTGTTTTAATGACTTTCTCAACAATTTAACCCTTTATATTGCATTTGTATCGATTGATAAATGATTAGTTAATCAAGTGAAACAATTTTAATCACTTTAAATTGTTAACTATTATTTTAATATGAAAATTTGTCAGATTTTCATTTTTTTTTTTCATTTTCTCTCAATCGATTTTAACTGTTTTCCTTTTCCTTGTACTCGATTTTTTGACAATATTTTGATTGTATTGATGACAATTTGTTGAGCAATACTGATTGTCATTAATAGAGAGCATGATTTAGTTTCAATTGTAAGTGAATTTAAATTGTTATCTTTCACAATTCTCACTCTATTTTTGTTTACTCTTTGCCTATGGTCATGGCAACGGCGGAAAAGTTTTCGCAAGGATCAAGACAAATTTAATGTTACCTTTTTTTATTTAGTCTATAACATTTTTCTTACTTTTTCAAAATATATCACCACAATTAACAGTTAATTAGACCAATTTAATCTCAAGTGATTAACACCTTATCCATAAATGATTGTGATCAATAGGAAATCAATCTAATCCTTATGAGTGATAATCAACAATCATCACGACTTTTGTTTCACAATTTTCGTTAAATTTTCTTACACTCCCACACTTACATGTTAATCCCAACAACAATTGGATAATAATTAATCAGGTAAGGAGATTAACTAATCCTGTTTCTTTCTCCCTCTGTCTCTGTCTCTGTCTCTCTCTCTCTCTCTCTCTCTCTCTCTCTCTCTCTCTCTCTCTCTCTCTCTCTCTCTCTAGTTTAAGAGCAATTAATTAGTTATACAGTTTAGTATCTAATTAGAATATTAATTAGTTGTAAATGTGATAATTTTTTGTCTTCCATGTTATGATATTCGTATGTGTGTTTTGTTACCTTGAATATTCAAAATAAATTCAACGGTCGTGGTAATGACCTCACTCTATGTTAGAGATCGACCGTTAAAAAGGGAGAAAGTAACAGTCAGAGAGAGAGAGAGAGAGAGAGAAAATGATGATAGGAAGATAAAGAAAGAGAGGGTAGAAAGAGAAGATAAACTGGAAGATGAAAAGAAAGTGAGTATTAAGCAGATGCATTGGAAGCAGAAAAAGGTTGAGACATATGGATTTACGCTTAGATATCGAGAGATTGAGTTACCGTTGGAAAAGCAGTTTCCATTGAGAATCCATTTGGTTTTCTTTATAAATGTATTTTCGTATTTGAATCTGTTAACAATTCTGATTATTCTGTATGGTTAATAAACCGCCACCATGTTGATTCATTAATTCTGTGCAATAATATGTCTCTCTTTCTCTCTCTCTATTTGTATCTCTTTCTTTTTATTTAACTTAATTGTATTCCAATGAACAACAATCAATGGTAAATGTTACCAAGTGAGGAAGAAGAAACAAAAAACTTCTCATCGAAAGTTAATCATTCAAAGGATCATCACAATTTCTAGTCGACAAAACTTTGATTCTGTTTCTGGTGATTAGTTTTCGAGGATGGGATTATCTTTAATTGGTCATCTTTTATCATCATCTTAATCCAGTTTCAAACTTTCTTTAAGTCTTCAAACTTGCAACAGAATTAAGGATATTCGAGTTGTTATTTTATTGTTATTTTATCGCAAAGTGAGGCCATGGTTATGTTAACCGATGAAGCTTTAGCTGAATTGGCAAAGATTGAAAATAAGATCGGCGATTATATTTGTCGACTTTGCTGCCAGAAATTTGAAAACGCCTTCAGTTTGGCCTTACATCGTTGTAGTAAAATAGTTCATGTTGTTCATCGTTGTCCCGAATGTGCCAAGGTGTTTAATTGTCCAGCCAATTTAGCATCACATCGCCGTTGGCATAAGCCCCGTTCATCTTTAGGTGACCTGAAGGAGACACTCGGTAAAGAAGAAGGTGAAATTGATGATGAGGATGAGGATGAAGATGAAGGTGATTTCATTGAAATCGAAGGTGAAGAAAGTACCAGTGGACAGACAATGGTCAATTCGCCGATATCCAATGGTAGTATTTCACCTTTGTCCCAATCGTTTGTTCAAACTAACCGATCTCGACCTCCGCCTTCATCATCACCTCCACCTCTTAAAAGGACAAAAACTGTTTGTGTAACTGGAACGGTGAAAATTGATTCACAAGAAACATCTTCAATCAATCCAATCGAATTGTCAACAATTAACTCACAATTACCAATTCCATTGATTTCCAAATGTTCAATCAAATTTCCATCAATTAGATCACCAATTAAATCACCGATAAGATCACCATATAAGCCATCGCCGTTGTGTTCATTATCGCATCAACCACCAACACCACCGCTTAAATTACCTCGACCTTCACATGGACCTTCACCTACGATTTCAACTAAATATCCATTAATCAGAAACTCTGCCAACATTTTGCTAAATTGTGAACCAACAATTGGACCAACAACAACAACTGAATCAGAATTACCTTTAGCATTGACCTCACCAACAACACCAACTTCACCTACATCTCCCTCAGTACCAGTATCATCTTCATCTTCATCCTCATCCACATCATCTTCACCTCCACCCCAAGGACCAAAAACATCAACTAAATCAAGACCAATTATGGAAACAATAGAATCATCATCATCATCATCTTCATCATCTTCTAGTCCATCACCACAACCACCACCACCTTCATCAACACAGCAACAAATGAATACGCCAACAACACCACCACCCACTCCACCTCCACACCAACAGCAAAATCAACAACAATCATCATCATCATCAACAACAATTATCGGTGAAATGACAACAATGACCAAAGATCCTCTATTTGGTTGGACATATTATCCGAAAAAGTTTCGTCGACAAGCTTACATGAGGATTAAACATTGTTGTCCTTAAATTAATCACGATCAACAATTTGAAACAATTAATCAACAAAAAGAAATCAACAATTAACCAGCAAACCAAATAAGCAATTGACAAAAAAATCAATCAACATTAATCGCTCATTCTAGTCCAATTGAATTCCTAGTCCATTTATATTAATAACAAGAAATTAAGAAAAAGAGGAAAATTAAATGTTCATCTATTCAGAGAGAGAAATTAAATTTAATTGTATTTGCCAATAATTAACTGATTTCCATCCAAATCAACTAAGTCAATCAATCAACAATCTAATCCATCCTTTCTTAATTATAACAATCTAATTATTTTAAATGTTCTTAATGATTGTGATTAACTATTTCAATCATATTATTATATCAAATCAACAATCTTGTCAATGTAAAACCCAAACAATTACCCTGATCATTTAATAATTGATTACAATTAATCAATAATTTAACCAATCAATTCCGTCTATTAAATATGAAAGATTATTGTAATTTTTGGGACAATCAATTTTTGAATAAAAAATTTAACTTCAATCAATTTTAATTTAGTTTGATCAGAAATCATTTGCAATAAAATTAATTTCATCATCTATTGATCAATTTTAAACAAATACAATCAATTTGATCAATATTAAAGTTGATTAACTGATTATGATGAAGGTGATGATGAAGATGATGGGTAATGATGAGTCTCTAATTGAGAAAATTAAACAAAATATAAATCCAACAATTAACAAAATGTGATTAGTAAACAACAATTAGCAAAAGAGATAAAAAAAAATGAGAGCTGATTAAGAGCAGAAAAAAGTTAATTGTGATGATTGATTTGATTTGATTCCTTTGATTGTGCAGCTTATCACGATTTTGGTTTTCTTTTATCAGAAATATGATTTAAATTATTAATCCATGTTAATCAATTAATCCTTAATTCCCCTTTTTCTGATTGATCAGTAACAATTAGATTAAGTTGAGAAGCAAAAAAGTTACAAATGATGATTGGGATGAAGATGAATGAACAAAAAGTGATGAGTATAAAATTTATATGGATTAAGATTAACAATTAACCAATAATTTACAATTAGAAAAAAATAATTATCATGAAGATGATGAAATTGGTGGTGATGATGAAATTGTAATGATTAAATCAATCGATAAAATTGATAATTAACTAATCAATGTTTGTGCGTTAAAAAAAAAGGTAAGGCAGTTTAATAATAATAATTAAAAAGATGATGATGATGATGATGAGATGATTGAATGAAATTAAATTTCTAGAATTGATTGTTGGCCCGGATGATGAATTGTTGTAATAATAATAATGATGATGATGATATTTAAGATTAACATTGATTGATAGCCGCTGCTGCGGCTGCGGCGGCGGCTGCTGCTGCTGCCTGAGCAGCCATGGCCTCAGGGTGTTTCGTCCTCTTGTGTTTTGAAAGGTCACCAGGCCATTTGAATATTTTTGGACACATATTACAGGGATGTCGTTCATTAAGATGAACAGAGCGATAATGAAGCTTAAGTACATCGGGTCGGACAAAGACTTTGTGACATTCGGGACACGGGCTAATGTCTTGAGCTTTGTTTCCTTTTCGTGGTCTTCCGGGTCCTCGAGGTTGCAAGAAATCGGGTGTGGCTAAAGGTGTTGAAGATCCACCATTTGAGTGACCATTGTTACCAATAGAATTGTTATTCAGTGTTGATGTTGTTGTCGTTGTTGTTGTTGAGTTTGTGGTTGTGCTATTAATCCTGTTATTGTTGAGTGGGGATGAAGATGAAGATGATGCCGATGAAGATGAGGAAAAGGGTAATGGGATAGCGTTACTTGGAGCCATCAGGCCAGGATGATGACCCATTGCAGCGGCAAGTGACATGTTATTATGATTAGAGACTAACATTGCTAATGAGCGATTCTGAGCTGCCAGGGAAGCCACTGAATTAGCATGATGGTTACGAATATTTTTATCAGAAGGATGATAATCATCCATGAAACTTTCCTGATCATCTGAATGATTATCACCATTGGTTATCTGTTTACCATTAAATGGAGCCATTGATTGTAATTGCTCATAGAATTCAATTAATTTGGCTTCTTGAGAATCGTGATGAAATGATTGTTGAGATAATTGATAAAGATGTTGACGTTGTAATTGTTGTAATCGAAGTTGTTGTTGTCGTTGGAAGATTAAATCTAAATTTAATCCAAATAGATTAACATTAAAGATGATGAAGAAGAAGAAGAAAAAAATCAAACATCAAATGCGAAAATTAAACAATCAAAGTCAATTGAGATTCCATTTGAAATGGGTGAGAGAGAGTTAATCCATTCAGATGATGATGATGATGGTTAACATGATGATTATGATACCAGATGGATAATTCCAAACATGATGATGATGGATTAAGAAGATTAGGAAACAAAAGAAGAGAGAAAATTATTATTAGAAAAGTATAATAAAAAGTTAATTCGTAATAAAATACAAGATGAGAAAAGATTACGATTGAAAGAAAGAGTGAATTAAACTACAATTAACCAGCAGGGTGGATTAACAATCATTCATAACCTTAAACGATTAATGAATCAACCCAATTGAAGGTTGGAAAATGGGTCAACAGAGTGACCACAAAGTTTTTCTGGTTTTCTTATTATTATTTTCGGGCCTCATTCGTTATTCCGTTTAAAGTGTTTACCATGAGAAGAAAAAAAATTTCATGATAGAAAGAGAGAAAAGAATTGACTTTCTTTCTTTCTTTCTTTCTTTCTTTCTTTTCTCTTTCTCTCTCATCTTCATCTTCTTTCTGGTCAGTAGGAAACTAGGACATGATGATGATGATGATGATGAAAAATTCTGGTTTCACCTGAACATCAAATTGATACATAACCAGTTGATTATCTCAACCATTAAAAGTCAATTCAGTTTCATTTTAGCATAATTTTCATTTTGTTCATAATCTGATTGGTTAAACTGATCATCAGAACTTTTCCCCTGGGTCACAGTTTAATCAAATTATCATCATGAAGAAATAAATTTCAGCTCAATTATATTTTATGGCTTTTGGAATAATTTAAATTCACTTGACCAAATTAACCAAAATATCAATCAATTATATGGATAATATTTTAATCAATAATCAACAAAACTGACCATCAATTTGAGAGATGAAAACTTTTCTCATCTTAAAATCATTAAATCTTAATGATTATCATGTTCTAGATGATGAATATCATGTTAGTCAAATTAATGAATATCCAATTGAATATAAACAGAAAATATCTTTACTATTATATTAGAATTGAGATGAGAGAGAAAAGTTTCAAAAGAAATCACGATCATGAGAGATAAACGATAAACGAACTGAACAACTTTCCAAAAGTTTTCTTTCATCTTTTCTTAATAATTCTGAGTGAAAAATGAACAATGAATCGTATAGATACAGAAGAGAGAAAGATAATAATAAGATGAAGAGAGAGAGAGAGAGAAAGAAAAAAAACTCAGAAATTAAGAATCAGAATTAAATTGTAATCAGATTAACGTGTAACCCAGAAAAATAAAAAAATCCTAAAATTGGTTAACATAAATAACAATAGAAAACATGATTTACATTGTTGTTAACCTTGCGATTAAAGTGCTTGTCACCTAAATGAACAAATTTTTACTCTGGACGATGACCTTCGACCTAAATCAATTGATTGTCATGTGATTAACCTTCTAACCATTGTTATCAAGGTTTAATTGTTTCCACGAAGAAAAAAAAAATTAATCAACAACAAATCAAGAATCAAATCTCTTACCTAATAATATGAAACTTTCACAAATCTCTCATTGTACTTGTTTCAATTACTCTTGATATTAGATAACTGAATCTTAGATTGTTTTTTATTTTCATTCAATTCTTTTTTTTTCTTCCATTTTTTCAGCTTCTTTTTTAAATCACACACATTAAACAACAATCAAGGTAATTGATTATCGTTGATTAACTCTAATCATGTCTACATTTATATATATAAATTTCTTAATCAAGAATAAGAATAAAAAGGTACAGTTAACTCACAGTTGAGAGATCACAAGAAAATATTAGTAAACATGTTGATAGGGTTTTCCCTTTGAGAATTGAAATTAACTCATAATTTCTTATTACAATTAACTTGATTGCTAATTAATTCATAATAATAAGTTTCCAAGAGATAATTTCGTTTCCTATTTTCTTAGGTAAAACTTTTTAAAGGTGACAGGTAAATAGTTATGATAATAATAATATTCAATGTCCTGAGAATGAACAAAAAAAAAAGGATAAGATTCAAGTTAAATTGTCAAGATTAACCTTGATTACAGGAAATACACAATCTAATTAGTTTGAGATTTGTATTCAATGTCTCTCACCAGATTGAACAATTTAATCTAGAGCAATTCATTGAAAACAGTAATCAAAATTATCGCCAATAGAAATTAAAAATTCAGGTTAACTGATTAAATTAACATGATGATGGATGATGAAAACTTGAAGCACCAAAGATATAATAAAGAGAAACCGATAAACCAAAAACAAACTGATTAAAAATTGGGAACACAAGACAATCAATAATTCATCAACAATCTACCTGAAGATTAACCAGAATCGGATTGAAAAGATGAGAGAAACGGATTAACTGTGGAAATCAAACTGATCACCTTTTGGGTTAATCTTTGTCCAATTTATCAGAGAGAAACCCTAATGATCATAATTGATAATTTATCTTTTCCTCATCAATTTTGATGTTTCATTGATTAAATTGTCACTTTAACTCACCTTTTGCTATGTCAACCTCATAATCTTCATTATCACCGTTAATCTCATCGCTCATGTAACCATCCATATCTTCAACCGAGGTATTGATTACTATTGGCTCTTCATCCATATCATCATCTCGTTTATTGTTTTCCTCATCATCGTTATCCTCATCACTTTGATTACCATTCTGGTTGAACCTTTTTCTTGAACTGTTAATGTTATTCATCATGTTATTTCCTGTTGATCCTTCACCATTCCGGTGATCATCATCATCGTCAATATCTTCATCAGCCTCTTCATCACCTCTCTCAGTATCACCATCATCGTTATTATTATTAGAATTATTATTATTATTATTTTCCTCTCCACCAGCATTCAAATCTTTCATATTATCATCACGATCTCCATTATGATTACGATCAATTTCCTCATCATCTTCCCCTGATCCACCATTCGCTTCAATTGTTAATTGTAACGGTTTATCTTCATCATCCGATTGATTATCATCGGCTTCATCTCGACGCGATTCTTGATTCCTATTGGTAACATTACCTTTTTTACTCTCATCATTTCCATCATGACCCTCAGAACGGACATCCTCACCATCTTCCCTTTCAATCTTATCATCATTTACATTGGTTCTCATGTCTTCAGGTTTATCATCATCATCAACTTTAATCTCTTCTGATGATTGACATTCAATCTTTACTTTTAATCCAGATTCGGGTGTTGATGATTCTTTTGGACTTGATGCTCTTTTCGATGCCTCGGAAACTCCTGAAACTGTCGGGGAATCACATGAACGTGAAGGTGAACCCTTGGATCCATGGGATGAGATTGATGAACAAGAACCAGGTACCAATGATAAAGGTTGAGATTGTTGTTGTTGTTGTGGTGATGAAGTTGATGAATTTCTGAGTAATTGTTGTTGTAAAATTTGTTGTTTCATTTGAGCTTGAATTTGTTGGGATCGTAACTTTTGCGACTTTAATTGGCGCTGTTGATGCTTTTGGGCCAGAAATTGTTCAACTGTCATGTTTCGTGATTTTAACTGTTGATTCAATGTTGCATGAAGTATTTCTCGTGACGTTGAATAACCAGATAAATTGAACTGAATCTTGCTGGTGATGACAGTGCATTCCTAATCGATTCAGCTGAAGACAAATTTAAACCATGGTGAGTATAATCACCATTGGAATTACCCAAATTAAGCCTATCCGAATAATTTGATGAACATCCATTGGAATTACCATCAACCGTAATCCGTGATTTTTTCATTACATGGGAATCAATACCATTTGAGAAAAGAGATGAAGATATTAACGATTCAGTTGATGATCGTTTCCATCCAGATGAAGATGATATTGAAGATGAACCATTTGTTGATAGATTTAGTGATCCCATAGGATGACCAGAGGTCAACGAAGCAAGGATACTATGGGTTGATGTGGAATTGGGTGAATTTGAAACAGGTAAAGAGGATGAGTGTTGCTGATATGAAGATGATCCTGATGAGGAAGATGAAGATTTAGCATCTCCATCACCATGAGAATTATTATTATTATTATTGTTATTGTGGTGAGACGATGATCCAAATCCATTTGCGGCCATAACTGCGGCAACACCAGAAGATTGTAAACTAGATGATTCCACTTTTAGGTCAGATAATCCGCTTACTTCGAGGGCTCGAGCTGCATGTAAAATGGCTGAAAGTTTATCTCGAGAAACTGAAACTTCACCTTTGTAAATAAATTCAACAATCGCCCTTAATTCACTTAGGGCTAAATCTTTAATCACAATTACCGGATATTGGCATGGATTATTTGAAAAGGGTTGTGCTTCAAAAATGGCCTTAAAATAGGGTGAAAATGTTGATAAAATAACACGATGAGCACGGATAGTTTGACCTCCGTTGCAGATCAATGTTACATCGGTCATTGATTCAGTTTTGAGTAACTTTGAAAAGCCTGAGACAATTTCATCGGAATGATTAACCCGACGAAGTCTTAATGGTTTACTCATTGATGGTGTTGATGAAGATGCTGATGATCCTAACATGGTGATGATAAGGATGATTAGCTAACAATTAACTGTAACAATTTACTGTTACTATGAAGAAAATTTTGTTTACAAACAAAGTAACTTGAACAGTTAAAACAAAAGTAACAATTTAACTCTACGAATGAAAAAAAAGGGAAGACAATTGGTAATCGATTGTGTATTTGATTGTTAATTGTTGACAGTTTGATTGAGATTTGATCGGTTATTGGCACAATTAAGATGAAACAAAGTCCATTGGGAAATTAATATTCGAGGTGAATTCAAGTTTAACATTGATGGTTAACGAAAAACTTTTTCAGCGAAAACAATTTACTCCAAATTGTTCACATCGATAAAAATATAAATGAGATGATCACTTGGATATATTAACGGTAATTTGTTGAACAGTTGATTATCATGATGATGATCACAATTTACAGGAAAAAAAAAGTTCAAAGTAAAAGATGAAAAACTTATAATAAATGATGAAAATTGAACTTTAATCAACGTAAATGATTAAATGACTACGGTAATAAGTAAGTAGCACAAAATGAAACTAATCTCAATCTTTCATCTCTCTCTCTCTCCCTTGTCTCCCACTCTTAATCTTGTTGAACTGACTCACTAAAATTTACTTTCTTTCTCACCTTGCCACAGGTCTTAAGAAATTTGGTGAAAACTGAATGGAAGAAGCTCCACTGAATGAAGATAAATGATGAAAGAGAGATGAAGATGATGTTAAGGTCAGAAACTATTCTGTCAAATGTCCTGGATTATTTTCTTTCTGGTACCGTTAGTTTGGCCTGTTAACCCTCAAGAACCGCCCTCGAGAAGGAGAGACCTGAGATGATAAAATAGGTTGTACCTTGAGAGAGAAAATAAAGTAAGTAAGAAAGAAAGAGAGAGAGAGAAAGAAAAAGCCAGAAGAGAATTGCCGATTTCGTCTCTTCTTTTCTTCTTCATACCAATAGTACCGTTATCTTTTCCTTCTCTTTCTTTTTCTCTTTCTATTCCATTGACAGTTAACTTTGGTTAAGAATGTAAAAGAGAGAGAGAGAAAGAGAAGACCTGAAAAGTAACTTGCTAACAAAAAGAAAGAGGAAGATAAGATGATGATGATGAGAGAGAGAGAGAGAGAGAGAGAAGGTAAAAGGTAACCTGGATAATAATGAAATGTGAACGTAGTAAGAGGCAGAAAAAGGGGTTGACTGTTGATTTCGTGTTTTATTTTGATTCTTGTTCTTGCAACGTTTTCCCGAAACAACAGCGAACCAGAAAAAATTATGCAAAATAACATTTTTGCCTAACGGTACCTAGTTACCTAATAATCCTTAAAAAAAGAGGAGGAGGCAAATAAACAGGTAACTTTAAATTGCTTGGAACGTAGGTTACGTCTTATCATTACCTCTCTCAATCTCGTTGCCTCCCATGAACAACCTCCCACTTACTTTGAATCTCTTTCTTCAGACACTTTGTTTACCTCTCTCTCTCTCTCTCTCATCATCACAATGATGCTCTCTCTCTCTCTCTCTCTCTCTCACTCACTCTCTTATCCCTTCAAGGTACCTGTAAGGCAACTTTACCTCTTTACCGAAGGGCTTCAATTGGCTTACCTCTTTTGCGCAATTTTTTATATGCACTTATCTTTCCTCTCTCGCTCCCTCTCTCTCTCTCGTCATCATCTTACCTGTTGATTATTCTCTCTCTCTCTTAATCTTATCCTTATCTTTCTTTCTTTTACTTTCTTTTTCTTGTTTTTTTTCTACTCCTTTTGCGAATGACCCACTCCACCGATGAATGAGTTCTAAAGTATGTTTGTCCTAAATTCTTCTTCTTCTTCTTCACAGGTTTTTGTGTAATTTCTCTCTCATTCTTTTCATGAAGAAGATAAAAATGATGATGATGAGAGTGGGAAAAGAATGAGATATTCTTTTTGTTTGTTGTTATTCTTTTTTTTGTTGATGTATTCATTTTCTTTTCTTTCAGATGGACGCATGATAAATATGAAAACTTTGTTAGTTCAATCAAAGAGGTTACTCAGTTTTCTCTTGAATTGAGATTGAGAAAAATGAACGACAATAAGAAGAAGAAAAAAAAGAACTTGTTCTCTCTGCTGAATACTCTCAACTCTTTAATTCTTATTCCATTCAATACCATTATTATCTCACCATGAATTTCCACCACCTCTCGATTTCCCTCCTTCTACAATAATTAGATAATCATATCATGTTTTATTTTCCTTTTTCTCTCCTTTTATAGTTTTTCATGATTCGTTGGATCTCAAGAATCAGGCGAATCCTCTGCTGGAGCGAAGACCTAATTTAAGTCTAATTCCATCTTGGAAAGAAAGAAAGAAAAAGAGAGAGAGAGAGACGATTAAAAGGAAAGGTAGAAAAGAGAAGATTAAAGAAGATAAGATGATGATGATGATGGCGAAGAAAATAACAATCGCTCGAGGCTTCACTATTAGAAAATGATCATTTTCGTTCCTACGATGTAACCATTTCTTTTTTCCCCAACTGCCTTTAAGCTTCAGAATATTAGATAATTTACTCAGTCAGTTACTTCCATTATCATCATCATCACCTCTCACTCTTGCTCTCTTCATACATATAATTTGCTCCTTCCCTGATTTTTTTTTTCTCTCTCCACCATCATGATCATACTTGTAACCTGAAACAAGAAAATTTGTTCAGAAAGTCTCGAATCATTAAGTATCTCTTTCTTTCTCATTTTCTATCAACAATAATCTTAACTGTTTTTCTCTCTCTTTTTTTCTTCTTCTTCTTTCTCTTCTCATTCTCTCTCTCTCTCTCTCTCTCTATTACTAATCACTTTGCTCCCTTTTTATCATGATAATAATCACACTCACACACAAACTTTAATCCACCTTCGTCAGTTTTTACCCACTCTCCTTCTCATCGAAAAATCTTCAATTCGTCTTCTCGATTAACCCATTTTCATGGAGAGAGAGAGAGAGAGAGAGAGAGACTGGAAAAAAGAGATAATCATATTTCATAAACTAAGGAAAATAATATAAGATGAATAAAAAGCGAGAAAAAGTTCTGATTCTGATTGAGGCGAAAACTATTTTCACTTGATTCGAGAAACTAACGGTTAACAAATTATTACCTTTTCCAAATAAGTTGCTGCCTATTCGGAGAGTTTATCATTCAGGGGCCTGTGCCCTAAATAACCTGATAATTTTTAATTCTTTTCCCGCCTTTGGCTAATTGTTTGACCCATAAAAATGATCAACATGCTAATTTAATATTAAGCAGGTGAATTAAGAGACACGAGAGAAAGAGAGTAACAAACCAAACGAAAGGTAAATTAATGGTAAAAAAAAGGAAAATGATTAACTTTTAAAAGTGATCATTATAATTTAACTACGAAGATTAAATTTCGTACAAAAGTAAAATCAAATTCCCGTTAACGTAGGTCGTTGACAACGATAACGACACAATTAATGATTAAACTTTTTTTTTCGTTTAAAAAGTTTTGTCTCTCAACGAACCTTAATGTTTATGCTTCTTTACCATTTTAATTTTCTAATCGTAATAATAATCGTTAGTTGATGATGATGATAATTTAATTTCGTTATTTGTGGAAAAACTTTTCTCAATTAATTAATTTGTTTCTCTTTCTTTTCTTTCTCCAGGTAATAGAAGAAAAAGGTTTTCTCTCTCTCTCTCTCTCTCTCTCTTTCTCTCTTCGCTTCGACAACGATTTAAAGTTAATTGATAAAATAGAAAATCTGATTCCATGCTGATGATGATTCTAATTACTCCTGAGATTTTGAGATAGATTATCAATAATTAATATTTGAACAAGAAGATCATACAAACTGTCAACATGAATTATAAGTTAATGCAGATTAATTGGCATAAAAATAGAAGCGTTTTTTTAAATTACCTAAATTGTTTACAATCAATTGCAGACCAGTAAACAAATAAACGGTATCAGAAAAACAACAACAACAACAATTGAGGCGAGTTTTTTAAATCGATTTGGCATCTTGACGGAAAGTTATCAAGTATTATATATATAAAATAATGACCTGACCCAATGAGATTGACGTACAGGGAGATAGACACACGTAAATTTTGTGTATATAATATTATGAGAAGATTGATCTACACCAAGGAAAATTTAAAGTAACTTGTCATCATCCTCATCATTTTTATCTTCATCTTGATCATCATTAACCATCATTAGTGATCATCTTCATCTTTTGACCTCAACGAGATTTCCAGATTTACCCAGATTCTGTTTCCATCTTAATCTTACCTTAAAATCTTTGAACTATTATATTAATTTTCTTCTATTTTATTAGGCCAACGTCACATCTCAACGAAAGATGATGATGATGATGATGATGATGGAAAGAAGAAAAGAAAAGAAAAGAAGATAGAAAAAAGAAGCAAAAAAAAGAGGCCAATCATTCTTGAATTACCTATTACCTTTTTCATCGGAATCCTGTTTCAATGAATGAACCCGTTGAACATCATGGAATCAAGATTTTCACTTCGTTATTAAACTCGTTTCTCTTTTTTTTCACTAACGAAATAATATATTTACTCAATATCTTTTATATTCTTGATTGTTATCATCATCTTCGCAACCATTATGGCAATAATAATAATATTAATAATGATTCTAAGCTACAATATTATATGTTTGACTTACATCTTCTTACCTGGTTTTCGTTATTTACTTCAAAGTTCAACTCTCACTCAATATCCTTAATCACCTGAGAACTGAGAGAGAAACTGAGTGTAAACAAGTGAATGAGTAACAGGTAAAGAAAGAAAGAGAGAAAGATGATGAAAAAGGAGTTGAACAGGTAAAAGAGAGAGAGAGAGAGAGAGAGAAGATGAAGAAACGGGCTTCAAGATCGCTGTTATATTGTGTGAGTGTATGCGTTTGATGTGTATGAACATGAACAATTTCAACAGTCCGTTAACTCGACCTAAAAACATAGATTCAGAATTGAGTGAGTCAAATCGAGAGAGAAGAGAGAGAGAGAGAGAGAGAGAAAGGTATGTGTTCACTCACACAGCACGTATAATAGGTGCTTTCTAAGAGAGCGACGATGATGACGAGGGAAAAGAAAGAAAAGGTTTAGCATTTGTAAGAGAAGAGAGAGAGAGAGAGAGAAATTCGAATAAGATATTTTCTTTTATTTTCTTCTCACTCTTTCATTCCCTTGACGTTTATCAATTGTACCGTACAATTGTTACTGTAATCAGTTGATTGTTATCATTAACTGAGCTCGAAGAAGAAAAAAAAAACAAAAAAATTACCTTAACCCAAAGTCGCAAATTTCAATTGTCGTTTACTAACTGTAAATGTGAATGACTTTTTCCCTTTAATTTCATACTAATTATCTCTCCATCTCTGTCATCCATTAAAAACTTAATTCATATTACAATTTAATTACCATACGAATTAAATTATATTTTATGAGTTGTAATTGTTGGTAATTCTAAAATACAGTCGAAACTTTTTCTTAACTAATTATTATTTTCAACTTTTTCTTTGCGCTGGTTTGTTTGTTTGCTCTGCGATTTTGATTATACACCAAATCGAAATATACTTTTGTTAACTTAATTGTCAACGATTATGATTGTTTCTTGATTTTTTTTCTCTCTCTCTCTTTTCAGGATAAAATAATAATCTACCTGTTGAATCTGTAATTAAGAGAGAGAGAGAGAAAATCGTTTTTTTTGTCTTCAACTAAGAGGATAATTATTAGACTGGAAATTAGTGTTATCATTTACTCAGTTTGAATCATGATTACTACGTATTGGTAAAACTTTGAATTGATTAACAATTCTGATGGTTGAAATATAAATATATTTAGTGTACAATTTTTATCAATGGATGATTGAATGATTTGGGAAATTAAAATGATTTGTGATTTAGATACAGTTGAAAATTAAGCTGATCTTTTGGATGAATACAACAGGTAAATATATAAATAGTATATATTTATATATACATGCGATGGCTTAAAGGCTCAAGCGAGGAAAAAAAAATTACCAATAAACAGCTAACGTTTTAAATGAATAAGCAAAAATTATCGATGGATTGTGAATTAATTAAATCAATTTTAAAGAGGTAAATCAGTGGCAATGAACCGAAGAAGAGGGAAGACGAAGAAAAAAAAATATAACGGTAAACAATATTTTCAGATGATGATGATGAAGATGATGATGGTGATGGTGATAGGGATGATGATGATGATGGAAACTCGTATTTTATCTTGCAATTTAAGATGGATTCCAGTTCCAAGTTTGCACCGAATGAACCATATTAATGATATATATATAAATACATCAATTCTATTGACATGGTCCGATACCTTGATTGATTGAAGGAGATGAAGAGGATGATTGAGATGATGAAATCAATGATGAGATCAAGTGCACAGCAAGAAGCTAGAAAAAGATAAAAAGGGAGAGAGAGAGAGAAAAAAGTTAGTGAGAAAATGAATGAATGAGAAATAATATA